GGTTCCAAAGTGGCCTTATTCGCAGGAATCATATCAGGATGCATCGTCTTCATCGTCATCATCATCACCTTGGTGGTACTGCTGCTCAAGCACCGCAGGAGGCACTGCAAACACTCTCCACAGCAAAGTACCACAGCCAAGCGAGGTGGCAACAACTATGGCTGGGAACCCAGTGATGTTCTCATACCGCTAAGGACTGCAGACAGTGTCTTCCGCCCACACTATGAGAAGGTCAGCGGAGACTATGGGGACCCAGTGTACATCGTACAGGAGATACCCACACAGAGTCCTGCCGACATTTACCACAAGGTCTGAGGCCTGGGAAGTTCGCCTCCCAAGGGAACTCTCTCTCACCTTGTTGTGGGCGCAGGGACTGAGCCTGGCTCTGGGGGCGGAATGACTCCTGGAAGAACCTGGAGCTGGACAGTTTTGGAAAATGTAGCTTTTCAGCCTTGGGGAACCACAGACCCTCCCCGGAAGCTGGAAGACTGCTAAGAGATCCGGACTTGGACTGCTGTGTCCCTGTGCGGATCTCACTGCTATTCACCCAGCCAGGCACTCAGGCCTCTGCAGATCCCGGGGTGGTGGTCTATGGGTGATGCAGCAGTACCTTAGGAGAAAGTTGCACCCTGCCTCTGTGTTTCCTGCCATGCACACGAGACTTGTCACTCGACCTCGGGTAACTTCAGTAAGGTTTTCAAAGATCCCTAGCCATTTAGTCCTCACTCCTTCTGTTGCCAGGGCTCTGCAACACCTCCCCAGACCCCTCACTCCACATCCCGTATCATTAAGGGACACTCACCACTGAGCCCTGGCCCCATCTTTTACACCAAGATGAGATTAAATGGGTATTATGTACAGAAATCTGCTTTCCTGGAAGCTTGGGTGGGTTTGCTGGGAAAAGCCTGGGAGGTGTGGTCCAGTGAGGAAGGTTCTGGCTGCGACCGCAGGTGGAGCATAGTGGGGAAAGCAAGAAGGAAACAATATATAGTGCTTGGGTTTGCTGAGAGGAAAGAGGAGAGTGGGAGACTACAGACTTTGGTGAGTGGTGGTGAGCTCACTATCACAGCTATGCAACTAGGAATCAAAGGCCCTTTCCTGAAGTGGAACAAAGGGGCCTTTGTTATAAAAGGACTAGCCAGATTTCAGATGGAAAGGACAGATCTTTGGGGCAGGATTATTGAAGTACTGGCAATAAAAAAAACACAGCCCTGGATCTGCGGGAGAGTCTGTCTTTTTGGGAGATGGTTTAAGCAGACTCAGCTTCTGTATTACCACATTTTAATCACCACAGGGAAAAACCTTTTAGGACAACAGCAGAGAGCCAAATCTGACCTCGAATTTGAAAATACAAAGGTCAAACAGGCTGTAAGTCCATCACCACTGAGGATATAGGGAATTTTCATTAGTAAAGGTTGGTCAGATTACACCAGTCCCCGGAAGTGCCCTCTTCTTCCCCGATTGAGCCTTACACTTTGGTTTTTGGTTGATGGCTGTGCTGTCTGGGCTGTGAGGCTGTACCAATCTCCATGTCAAAGCAATGCACACGTGGCCCACTTTTAAGAGTCCTTAAGATGGAGATAACATTATGATGTCAAGGGAACAGAGGGAGATAAGACATATTTATAATAGGTGTATAGAACACAGGGAATATAAAATGAAAGATATTTACTTATATATATTTTAAGATTACACACAATACATACCACGAGACATGGAATTCATTGGTTGTAGCTATTAAAGCAATCCCTGCCCTTAGCACTTTTCAGGTAAAAGATCAGATAGAGCTACTTCTAAGAGAAGCAGCATCACCCCAAAAGTTATCACTTGTCCCAACCCACAGGACTTTAACCTGGGGCAAGAGAGTCAGGAATAGCGAATGGGGACAAGAGACACAGAAAGAACGACTACATGACAGGATTCTGATCAAGTGGCAAACTTTAGTTTTCTCATTCTAACTTGTATAGTCAGCAGAGCAGGATAGGGGGAGGGGTAGAATGGGTTGTTTGTGCACAAGGTTTTATTGTAGGCAGGATATTTGGAGGCCAAAAATAGGATGTTTGGCAGGGTAAAGTGTTCATGAGTAAGAGGTCCGGGAAGGTTTTCCTAGGTGACTGAGCCTGTGGGTGGAGGACTAGGTCAAGTTGTTTCTTTTCTTGAGCTGAGGCTCTAAGGAACTGCTATGTAAAGAATAATATACAATAATGTGGCTGGCCAAGCATGGCCTAGGATCTCATGCCAGGCCCTGAGATCTTTGGCTCCAAAATAGCGCCTGCATTACAACATTTCCATAGTATAAGGCTAGGGACTTGAGGAATTAATTAAAGACAAGACAGCAGGTCTTTCTTGCAGGGAGAATGCCCTTTATTCCAACAAGAGTGGGGGCTTATATACCAGTCATCAGGCATGTTGGAAAACTACCCAAATCACAAGTTCAAGTTCCCAGGCCCTTGAGGCAATCCTGAATGGGCAAATAACAGGATAACAGGAACTTGCACTCAGGACTTCAGGGAAGGAAGAAAACAGGATGTACTTGCTAGGTAAGCTCCTAGTCAGAAGCTGGTCAGCAGACCCCTATTGGGGAAGGGCCAAACAAGCCCCCCTTTTATATATACATATAAAATGAGAGTCTGTCTTAGATCACCCAGGACAACAACATCTGCTTTACCCATCATAGAAATGCCTGCCCAGGCCTCTCAGACCCTCTGGCTTAGGTTAGCAGACATCCCCTAAGTCTCACCTGAAGGCCTAGCCAGACCTGTGCTGAGGGGTTATCTGCTGCCAAGGAAAGCATGATTTGCTTGGTTTAAAAATGGCACTGGGTTTGCCATCATCCTGTGTGGCAAAGGCAGACTGGGGCTAAATTTGCGCTGCCCAGGGCTATAATTCTGAGGGCCAGCAGCCTAGTCCATTCCTTAGTTAATTGGCCTGTTAGCTGCAGTCCCTTTAAGAGGGTGTCTCCCAAAAGGGGAGGCACCCTGTTCTTAATAATTAGAGTAGCCAATTGAGTGGTGTAGATTTAAAGTGCCCAATCGTACTGAAGATTGATATTATTTTGGGAATTTAAGGCAAGGCAACCTCCCCTGAGAGCTTATCCAGCGTGCCTGCTGTGGCAACTGAGTGAAAGATAGTGATATCAGAAGCTGTAGCTTCAGTGACAGTGGCTGCTGTGATGTGAGGACGAGCCGGTTCTCTCCCAAGTATTTCAATGGCACAGGCATAGTACCAGGAACTTGAACCACCAAGGCTGGACTCTCACCACTCCAACAGCTTCTCAAGAGACATTCCTGGGGGAACAAATAATCACTTCTCCCAAGGGAGTGTTATCATATGATAGAAGAACACACATTGAAAATTCTCTGACAGTTGCCTTTCCCAGGCTAAGGTTGGAGCTGACCATCACTGTCCACACCTGACCATCACTGTCCACACCTCACTCCAAAGACCCACCAGCCCCAGGACAGGCTGGCTCCTCACAAAGCCCAATTGGTCTTTTGATGACTGTACTGTATCAGCCAGGAACAGGGCGCACACAATGCTACGGGACCCAATTTGGGGACTCACTATCATGTGGGAAGATGCAAACAGACCCTTGGGCCCACCAGGATAACAGAACTTGCACTCAGGTCTTCAAGGAAGGAAAAAACAGGATGTACTTGCTAGGTAAGCTCCTAGTCACAAGCTGGTCAGCAGACCCCTATGGGAGAAGGGCCCACAAAAATTTTATATATACATATAAAATGAGCGTCTGTCTTAGGTCGCCCAGGACATCAACATCTGCTTTACCGGTCATTGAAAAGCCTGCCCAGGTCCCGCAGACCCTCTGTCTTAGGTTAGCAGATGTCCCCTAAGTCTTACCCATCATTGACTGCTCACTTGTCCTGCAGGCCCAGCCAGACCTGCGCTGAGGGGTTATCTGCTGCTAAGGAAAGCATGATTTGCCTGATTTAAAAATGGCACTGGGTTTGCCACTATCTTATGTGGCAAAGGCAGACTGGGGCTAAATCAGCACTGCCCAGGGCTATAATTCTGAGGGCCAGCAGCCTACTCCATTCCTTTCCATTATCAGTCTTGAACTCAAAGTGCATTGGCTGATGCTGGCAGCAGGGTCGACGACTGGGAACCCCCTTCCCAGGCTGGTGGCAAGAGAGCTTGTGGCCAAGAGCTAAATGAAAAACCAGGCTCTTCCAAACTCATCTCGAATCTGGCCACAGCTAGTGTGGGGAGGTGTGGGCAACGAGGGAGTTGAGAAGATGGGGGAGAGCAGCACCCCTTGATCAAGGTGGGGAGATGGGAAGCCCTGAGGGGAATTTTAAGGCAGAGGCAACCTCCCCTGAGAGCTTATCCATTATGCCTGCTGTGGCAACTGAGTGAAAGATAGTGATGTCAGAAGCTGTAGCTGCAGTGTCAGTGGCTGCTGTGATGTGAGGACAAGCTGGTTCTCTTCCACGTATTCCAATGGCATAGGCAAAGTACCAGGAACTCAAACCACCATGGCTGGATTCTCACCACTGCAACAGCTTCTCAAACTGCATTGCTGGAGGGAACAAATAAGCATTTCTCCCATGGGAGTGTTAATGCTCATTGAAAATTCTCTGACAGCTGCCTCACCCAGGCTAAGGTTGGAGCTGACCATCACTGTCCACACCTCACTCCAAAGTTGGCAATGGCTTGAATGGGACATGACTTAAGAAAGCAGGGGTTTCTGAAGCCAAAGCACCCCCAAGTCCAGTAGTAGTCGGCTGCTACCTGAATCCTTCCCTTCTATTCTAAGGGCCAGCACACAGCTGTGGCAGGAGGGCAGGGCAGGCAAAGGCAGACCCAGGCCATGTGTCAGCAACAGGTGATTGTGTGACAATGTGTCTGTTCACAGTTGTATTATTTTATTAGCCAGGAACAGGGCGCACACAACACTTTGGGACCCAAATTGGGGACTCACTGTCATGTGGGAAGATGCAAACCGACCCTTGGGCCCACACCAAAACTGAATCTGGCCCCTTCCAAAGGCCTGAGGGAAGATCCAGGGAACCAGAGGATTTTGTTTGTCCTTCTGTTGGCTGTGGCAGCTTCAGGTTCTCTTTTGACATCATCAAGAGCTGAAGCTCCTTCAGCATGATTTTGATGCTATCGGATTCCTGCCATTTTGCCATCACTGACGTGGCCCTTGGATCCACCACTCCATTTGAACTACTCATGCAGCTCATATTGACTTTTGTTACAAATGTTACAGATGGGGTTACTTCCAGGTATTTAGGCCCACATTCTATTTTAAGGCTGTATATTCGGTCAGAGCCTGTGGTGGCTGTCAACTTGCTTGCCAATTGTTTTTTTTCTTAACTCGAGTTCCCCATATCTTGAGGGATTCTGTGATCCCAGAAAGAAATAAATCTTCCTTGCTAAATGCTTGTCCCATTGTTTAACTTTTCCACATAGGTGGTGTTCATCAACCAAAAGTCCCAAGCTCTGGGTAGGCTGCTGGGTCTTCCTCCATCCAAGGTGTATAATTGACCTTGTAATGGATGTCTTACTGCATGGAGTGGCCCGTCCTGCTGATGAACACTGAAGTTCCCAGATTCCCAACTGTATCAAGCCACATTTTGGGCATCAGTTGTCCTGACCTGCAGGATGTCAACCTAGGGCAAGAGAGTCAGGAATAGGGAATGGGGAAAGAGACACAGAAAGAA